AAAAATATATATATGTATATATATTTATTTATAGAATATTAAATAATTATGAATATATTTAAAAAACAAAATAAATAAAAAAAAAACTTTATATATTTTTTAATATTTTTTAAAATGTATAACCTTTTTTTAAATTACTGTTATTTGAATCAAAATATAGTTTATAAATAAAAGGATCTGAATTTTTGACAGTAGAAACTACTTTTTTTACTACATTATCCATATCTTCGTTACATAAATATATTTTATCAAATATAGATGATTCATATATTTGATTACCACAATATATACAATTTTTATACTTTATTTTAGTACAATAAATTTTTCCACAAATTAGACAATTAGCGTATATTTTATGATTTTGCCCATTGCATATGCATATTTGAATATTTTTTTTTTTCTCTTTTTTATTTTTCATTTGCTGATTACTTTTTTTATTTGATTTAATGTTATCATTTTCCATTAAATCTATAATAGTTTTTAAAGAGTAATCATTCTCTTTGATGTTAAAAAAAGAAAAATAATCTTTTTCTCTTTTCTCTTCTATTTCATCATTTTTTAAATTTGTTAATTCATTTGTTTTCATTTCCACATTATTTGAACTATCCATTTTAAAATTATCTAATTCTTTTTCTTTTAAAACAATTGAACTATTTATCTTTTCATTATGCTTATTTTTCTTTGTTTCATTTTTATTTTCCGTTATTTCTTTACTTTTAATTTTTATGAAATCATCATAATATTTATTATCCTCAATGTTATCATTATTCTCTTTACATTTTATAGAATTATTTTCTTTATATTTATTCTTTTCTAATTTTACTTCTTTCAATTCTGCATTAATGAACTTTCTTTCATTATCTATGTCATATTTTTTTTTGTCTTTAATAATACTTATTTTATCATTTTTAAAAATATTTTCAAAATAACTATTTATACTTTTATCAGTGTTATTATTATTATTAAAATTCACTATATTTATGTTGCTATCTGAAATTTTATCAGAAAAATTGAATTTTTTTTTATTGTTTATTAAATCATATGTAAATTTTTTAACATCGTTTAGTGAATATTTTAAGTTTTTGTTTTTCTCATAAAATGCTTGATTTAATAAAAATATAGAATCAAATAAATCATAAGATCTCGAATTTAATATTGACTTAATATAATTAATCTCTAGTTCATTATTTTTTAAATTGAAGTATTTTACTATTTTATTTCTTAAATAATTTGCATATTTGTCATTATCACACATTGTTAACATATATTTTATATTTTATATTTTATTTTTTTTTTTATATATATTTAAATAAATATAAAAAGTGTATATGTTCAATTATTAAAACCATTTCATAATAACCGTGTTAGTACAAATTCAAATAAAAAAGTGTAACTTATATTCAAAAAAAAAAAAAAAAAATATATTTTTTTAATTAGAAATAATTTTTTTTTTATGTAACTTATATTTCATTGATACCCAATTTATGAATAAAAAACAAAAAAAACAAATAATTGTGTTATTTAAAAAAAAAAAATATTTGAATTAATTTTTTGAAATAAATATAAAATAGTTTTATTTTATAAAATTTTATTAAACAAAGAACAAAAAATGTAATTTTTTCTATTAATTTTGTATGAAAAAAAAAAAAAAAAAAAAAAAAAAAAAAAGGATATAATAATTAACAAATTAAAAATTGTAGAAAAATTAAGTCTAAAAAAAAAAGAGTTATATGATTTAAATTTAGTTTTTAATTTCTATTAACTTTATATTTACTATAAAGTTTTTTTTTTTTTTTTTTCTCTATTTTTTTTTTTTTATGTATCATGTATTTAAAAAATTTATATAATTTATATAATTTATATAATTTTACATATATATATATAGAAAATAAAAACATAAATCTAGATAATTAATTTTTTAATAATATGGAAAACCATCCATTAAATTCTCTTTTTTTGTTGTTTATAATTAAATTATTTTTTAAATTTGTTAAGGAATTCATAATGTAAATATTTTTATCATTTGTTTTATTTTCGTTTAAATAATGAACAACATATTTATCGTAAGTATATAACAAATGAAGAAATTCATAAAAATGATTACTTGAACAATCGTTACTTTTTTTTTTTTTATTCATCATTTTTTCTATTGAATTAATTTTTTCATTAATATTATTTAACTTATCATTTATATCTACTTGAGAATAAAAAATATCTTTTGCTAAAAAAAATGTCTCTTTAACTTTTTCTTCAGCTAAATAATTGTTATTAAATGATAAAAGTATTAAAGCATCATTCTTATCCATATTATTATAAATTTTTTCAATATTTGCACTTAATTTATTTAAAGTATCATTTGCTTCAACCCTTGTTGGTATTTCAAATATTTTCTCATTATCCTCTACTTTAAAATCTTTGTTATTAACATTTTTAATGCAGTTATATATTTTTTCATTACATAAATTTTCATATTCTCTCAATATTAATAAATAATTTTTTATTTTATTTTTATTTTTTATATTTAAAATTAAGTTTTCTGTACATTCATCATCGTTTTCACAAATACAATGAAAACAATTTCGTAAAAAATTTTTTGGAACCCTTTCTTCAATATATTTATTTTTTGAATCAAATATACACATATTTTTTTCATATTTATATGTTATGTCTTCATCATAAATTATATTATTTTTTATATCTTTAAAGTTTGCTTTATTCAAAAAAAAGGATAATGGTTGAAAATAACAATGAAAGTCATTTGTATCCAATTCACTTATCTAAAAAAAAAAAAAAAAAATATATATATTTTATATATATATATATTTTATATGAATATATATAAATTAATTAAAAAATTTGTAACCTTTTTTAAAGCTAAAAACATGCTGATTTTTGCATCATCAATTGAATTATGACCATTTTCTCTTTTCATAATAATATTTAAATATTTTTTGGAAAGTTGAAATAAAGATGGTTTTGAAAAGTAATTAGAATTAGAATAAATAATAGAAGTATCAATTACATATGGATGACTAATTTTAAGAGCATGTAAGTCATTTTCAAGTGAGTGACCAATTAAAATAGATTTATTATTTAAAAACTTTTTTAAATTTTCTTGTACATCTTTTAATTTTGTTTTTACATTTTCTAATGTACTTTCATTTATTCCTGAATATAAAGTTAAATAATTTGTAATTTTATTATCAGGAACTACATAAGAATCATATACAATATTCATATAAGCATCAACTACTGTTATTTTTGTTAATTCCCTTTGGTTATTTATTGTTTCACACATTTCGCAATCAATACTAAAAATATTATCTAAATCAAATTCACCAATATAATTTTCACTTTTATTTTTATCTTTATTTTCTTTTTCATTATTATTACTTACATTTGAGCATAAATTATTTGCTTCTCTCATTTTCATGTCATTCAAATCTTTATATTTTAAATGGTCTATTTCATTCATCTTATCATTTATCACCAAACCCAAATTCATCATATTTGGATTTTCATTTTTTTCATTGTTTTCCTGCTCTGCAGTTTCTTGAACTTCTTTATCTAATGAATTTACACAATCATTATTTTGATTTGATATACTGACACTTCCTTTTAATTGATTTTTATTTTGTTTTGAAACTTTTAAAAGTTTTTCTAATACTTCAGTATATAACTTTATATGTTCATCTGTGAATATATTTTTTTGTGATATATCATTTTCCTTTATATTTTCATTTAAATCTTTTTCTTCATCACCTATTACATTTCTGTTACATTCATTTTCATCATTTTGTGCAGTGTATGTATTTAAATAAACTACATATGTTGAATTCATTGTTTTTGATAAATATTTATGCATATCATATATTTGTTTCTCCCATTTATTGTATTCTATATTTTCAAAATTCATATAATTGTCTGACTCTGTGGGATATTTATTTATTATCATTTGATCTTTAGTTAATAAATATTTATCAATGTTAAAATTATTTTGAAAGTTAAATTTTCTTTTGTTTTTTAAAACTGATACTCCTAATGATTTAAAAATTATATTACTACAATTATTTCTTACACAATTCTCTGTGTGAATTTTTCTAAAATTGTTATTCTTTTGTAATTTGTTAAATACATTATCTGTTGAAATATCTTTAATATAAAAATTAGATAAATTTGGGATTATAACAATAATTAAGTTATTTAAGCATTCGTTGTTTTTTATTTCAAATATTTCATTTCTTAAAATATATTTTCCAATTCTTAAATTAACTATAAAGTTATGTATATCTTTTAAAAATATATTTCTATGACCGAAAAATGCAACTTCCAATCTTTTAACAACATTTTTTTTGCAAGTTTTTTCTAAATCCTTTTTTGTTTTAGTTTTTCTTAATTTATCTTTACTATCGTATGCTTTCGGTTTATTCTTCATTTGTTTTTTTTTTTTAGTTTTCATCTTGAAATAAAACACATAAAATTTTTTTTTTTTTTTTTTTTATAACTTTAAAAAGTTCTTAATTAAAAAAGAAAATTATTAAACAAATTTTAAATTTTAAAAGAGTAAATCAAATTTTAACAAAAATATTATATAAAGTTACATTTTATACCTAATGTAGAATCACATTTTTTTTTTTCTTTTAAAGAAAATTACTCTTTTCAGATTTTAATTTGTTAAATTGCTTTTTCAATAAGAAATATCAAAAAAAAAACAATAAAAATATCAAATACTTTCTAAATAAGTTAAATAAAAAAAAAATTTTTTTTTTTTTATAATAAAATAAAAAGTATTGAAAACAATATAACTAAATAAAAAAAATAAATAATTATTACATGAATATATGTATAATGCAAAAAAAAAAAAAAAATATATATATATAGGTATACAAATTTTTCCGGGAAAAAAAAAAAAAAAAAAAAAAAAATATATATTTTAAAATTATACTAATAAAAAATTAATATATGATAAAATTAAAAAAAAATATATTTAAAAGAAACACCAAAACAATCAAATGTATAAAAATAAATATCAAAAATTAAATGATTAAAAATATATATCTGAAGCTAAAAGAATATTTGATTTTAAGGAATTAAATTTTAAAAAAAAGTATATTTAAAATTTTAATGAATAAAAAAGAATATATACAAATCATAATAAATTATTTATACTCATATATAAATTAAAAAGATACCAATAATGAGATAATTGAAACTTAATGATACTAAAATAAGAAATGAGCATAAGCATAGATTTGTTATTATATGATTTGAATAAAACAAACTAAATAATAACTTCATGAAAATAACACTTATAAAACTAAATGAATAAAACTTAAGTGAAACTATTTTTATTTTTAAAAGCCGATAGTATGTTATAGTAGATTAATTAGGTTTAAAATATGAATACATATATATTTTTTTTTTCTTTTTTTTCTTTTTTTCTTTTTATACAAGGAAATTGTCTTTTCTAAAATAGTATATGCTTCAATAATAAAAATATTATATAAGAAATAATTTTAAAAATTTAATTTGATTGTATTTACTAATGTTTGATAAATTAAATTATTAAATATAAAAAAATTCTATTAAAGTAATGAAATTATAATTGAAGTTTAGTTAAAAAAAAAATTTTTTTTTTCTTTTATAAAATATAAATGAAAATGTGATTATTTAAACTGTTATTTAAATAATGTTATAAAACAAAATATTTTTTTTTTTTTAAGATTTTATAATTGATTTAATAATATATATATATATATATATATAATTTATATGTACAATTTAAATATATAAAATATATTTTTCAAATTAACCAAAAAAAAAAAAAAAAAAAGAAAGATGCATAATGAAATAAAGCATAACATATAATCTGAATGATATATAAAAAAATAATCAATACAAACAAGATATTAAAATGAGTTGTAACATAGCAGAATAAAATATAGAAGTATAAGACAGAATAAAAGGATACGAAAAAAAAAAAAATAAAATAAACTTTTTAAAAAAGAAGATAAAATTTATGTAAAATTATTTATTAGATAACTTTTTATTCTATCTGCAAGGCTACATTTATCCATTTTAAGAACTTTTTGCTGATCTTTATGAGAACCATGTTCAATTGATTCATTTGGAAAATAAATATTATGAACATATAAATTATATTTATTTATATAATTATTATCTATTAAATAATTATTAAAATGTGTAGAAAATCCACCTATAACATTATCTTCATATGTAATAAGACAATGATGTTTATTTTCTTTAACTACATAATCTATTATATTTTTATCTAAAGGATTCAAAAAAATCATATCAATAACCGAAAAAGAAAATTCTTCTAAAAAATATTTATCCTTTTCAATTTCTTTCAGTGCATTAACTACATTATATAACATACTTCCCATATTAAAGATGCTTACTTTTTTTTTATTTCTGTTAAAATTATTATGGTTACTCATTTTAATAATTCTTGCTTTTCCTATAAAATTATTTATATCATTTTCTTCTTCTTTTTCAATATCTATATGTAAAAATTTTGTTAAATAATTATTATTTAAAATATTCAATCTAGGCAAACGGATAAATACAGAGTGTTCTTTATCTATGTAAGAAAATTTCAAAGATTTTTTTAAATCTATACTATTACTTGGAGAAATGATATAAGAATTTTTTAAGGCTCCTAAGTATGATAAATCATAAATTCCTTGATGTGTTGCTCCATCTTCTCCTACTAATCCGCTTCTACATATAATTACTTTTAATGGTAATTTCTGTAAATTCATATCATGTATTAATTGGTCATATGCTCTTTGAAGAAATGTAGAATATATACATAAATGAATTTTTAACTTTTTATTTTTAGCCATAGCTGCTGAAAATGTAACTGCATGTTGTTCTGATATTCCCACATCATATACATTTTTTGGATAAAGTTCACCAATTTTTACTAAACCTGAGCCACCTAACATAGCAGGAGAAATGAAGATTATATTTTGATCTTTTTTAAGATATTTTAACATTTCTTCTAAATATATATCAGTGAAAGTTTTTTTATCAAATATTTCTTCATAATCAATGTCATTACATTCATTGTTATTTTGTTTTATCATTTCATTATTTATATCAACAAACAATTTATCACCTTCTTTGTACCCTGTTTCATTATTTTCTTTATTATCTTCTTTCTCTTCTTTTATGTAACCTTTTTTATCATTCTCATTGATATAATTTCTTTTATTATTATCAATTAAAGTATTCATATCAAAAGAAAACAGTTCATTTTTTTTTATGGAATGCATTTTATTAATTGGACTTTTTAAATCAATAAATTTGCTAGACTTCCTAGTATGTACATGTAGTACCGTGGATTTTTTAATTTTATTTTTTTTTATATCAGTTAGTACATTATACATTTCATTTATATTATTTCCATCAACTACACCAATATAATTATAATTTAAATTTTCAAAAATGTTTTTTCCTTTTATATTAGATGTAGTATTTTTATTTTTAATTTTATTTGTAACAAAACTATGTAAATGATCAGAAATAGAGCCAATCGGCCTTACTCCAGATATACTTAATGTATTTGTTGGTAATGAAACTTCTCCATTATCATTATATATAATTAAAACTTTCGAATTTAAAAAAGAGATATAATTTAATGCTTCTAATGCCATACCTCCCGTTAAACCACCATCACCAATAATGGCAATATGAAATTTATCTAAATCATCTGAATTGTTTCTTTCAAAACTTACATCATTTATCATATTTGTTATATTAAAATTCTCACCATTATTAGGTGATTCTTTTTTGAAGGATGTGCTCATTATTGCATCATTAAAATTTTCTTTTGGTGAATTTTTTTTTTCTTTATCATATACTTGCCAATCAGATTCATAAAATCCCTGTATTGCACTTAAAGAAGTGGAACTATGACCAGCTCCGAATTTGTCATAAATACTTTCAAAAATACTTAAGAAACCACTTAGACCTTTTTTCTTTCTTAATGAAAAAAATAAAAATTTTCGTCCTGTCAGAATTTTGTGTATATAAGCTTGATGCCCTATATCATATATTACATCGTCATAAGGTTGGTTAAAAATATATAATAATAATAATTGTATTTCTAATAAGCTTAACGAGGATGAAAAATGACCCCCAGTAATATTTACAATGAAAAATAAAAATATCTTTAATTCATGAGCTAATAAAGGTAAGTATTTTTCTTTTAGCTTCTTTAAATCAGATGGGTTATTAATTAAATTTAATAAAGGTAAGTAATTTAATATTTTTTTTATTCCTAATATATTCTCTTTTCTATAATATTTTTTATCAATATTATTTATAAAAATACCATTATTCTTAAATTCTTCTTCAATCATTTTTTCGAATTCTTTGTCATCATACTTATTCATATCAAATATTACACTTTTTTTAACATCTTCAGAAAAATATATTTTTTCATAATTTTCTGGGATTTTTTTCTCTATATATAGCTTAATTATTTCATTATATACTTCCTTACCATAAATATCTTTATATTCTTCTATATTCAAAAAACTATTAATTTTATTAATATATATATCAATATTTTTTTTTTCATTATTTAATTCTTCTTCATATTCTAATTTAGAAATATCATTAATATTATTATCATTATTACAAGTTGGGCACAAATCTGCTTCTTTTGTTCCTAATATATTTTGTGAATTAAACAAAGATTTTTCTTTTAACAGTTTGGAATAATATTTTTTATAACTTTTAGGAAAAGATAATTCTTTTTGATTGCATAAAGATTCATTTTTTTTTAAAATATGTTTTCCTAAATGTTTAAAATTAAAGTAATTTATAAATAAAATTTTTGAATTATTTAAACATTTTTCCTTATCAACTTCATTACTATTATATTTATTATATCCCTTATTATCACCTTTATTATGAGAATGATAAAAAGAATTGATCAAATTTTTATTATTATTTATATTATTACTATATAATTTATTGACATTATTACACCTACTTTTATTCCTTTTATAATGAATATTATAATTTGCTATGTTAGATAAGCTATTCAAATTGCAATTAATGTTACTTAGATAATTTTTTCTTTTTAGCTTACTTAATTTTTTTCGATAAATTTGGTTTTTATTAGTTTTACATATGATATTTACTCCATTAGAATTAATAACAATTAAAATTAATAAATATAGAACTATTAAATATAAAGGACAATTAAAAATATTTATCATCATATATAGTAAATTTCAATTTATCAAAATACAAATTATACTAGAAAAAATTTAAGAATTATCAATTAATTTATATGTAATTCTTTAACATATTTTACATGTTTTAAAATATAATTATTAAAAAAAAAAAAAAAAAGGAGAATTGTATAATTTATACATTCTTTTACTTTTAAATGAATAAGAATAAGAATAAGAAACAAATTTAATTTTAAGTTCAATACATATTTTTATAATGCAAATAATTTTTTCAAAAGTTTTAAATTTTAATTTAAAAAAAAACTTATATATATTTAATTTTTTTTTTTTTTTTTTTTTTTTTTTTTTTTTTTTTTTTTTNTTTTTTTTTTGTATTATAGCTATAAAGCACAGTTGTTTCAGTGATATTGAAAAAATAAAATTTTCTTGTAATTTTTAAGAATAGTTGGATTAAAAATTATCTAATAGAATATATATGTTTATAATTAAAAAAAAAAAAAAAAAAAAAAAAAAAAAAGAAAAAAAGAAAGTATATAGGTAAAATATATTTATTTATAAAGAAATAAAAAAATTTTACATATTAAAAGTTTTATGTAGATGAAAAAAACTCATTCTCTTATTAAAAAATAATTACATAGATTAATAAAAATATATACATAAAAGACTTTATAGTATATAAAATATAAGAACACAATAAAAAAAAAAAAAAAAAAAAAAAAAAAAAAAAAAAAAAAAAAAAAAAAAAAAAAAAAAAAAAAAAAAAAATT